ATTCCACTGAGTCAGGGCACTCATACAGTCCTACCATCTGATTCCAGACATTAAGTTTAAGGCTCCAGAATTTCAAGAGAGACAAAGCTTAGTGAATAAAAGCATAGATGGAAACTGGTAATGCTGACAATTTCATAAAGTGCTACTTGTGTTTAGTTGAAGAAATGAACACGCAACACAAAAATGGATATGGCTACCGAGTTCTGATATGTAATATCCTCTAAGCATTGAAAGCAGAATGAGAAGAAAAAAAAAAAAAAAAACTACCCTGGTGAATTGACTAGAATAAAGGATTAAGTTCAAAATTCCAATAAGGTTGCCAAATATGAAGACAGTCCTAAATGGCACTTTGGCTGAAATGTGACAATAACAATCAACATGGACATATTGGTCTGAATCACAATCACAAGTCCTGTAATCTATTAGGGTCTTAGGGTCATCATGTACTGCAGCTGTGGTGTGTTTTGGGTAAGCTAGCCTAATGGAGTCTAACCCTCTTCAGGATGGTTTGAATTTAGTTTTTCTTCTCTTAGACTGGTTGCCAACCAAGGCTATAGCTGGAGGGATAAGGGATGGATTCATGCCTTTCCAAGGGCATTTGTGCATAAGTGAATGTAACAAACTCTTAGATTTCTCATTTTAGGCTGCTATTCATTACATCACTACACATCCATCTGGTCAGAATAGCAAAGCATATAAGAATTATCACACATTAGATATTACATATCAAAAAAAAAAAAAAAAAAAAAAAGAAAAGGACATCTGAAGGTGGCCAGATGGTATTTTGTTGAAATACTGTCTCTCAACTTATTCAAAATATTGTTCTCACTGTGATTATTATCAAGGTATATTGACAATTCAACTCAAAAATTACTGAATTTTTATTTATGAGTACAGATTTGAATGAAAGCCAATCTTGATTGGTTAAGACATTTTTTGTTTTAGGTGTTATGACAGTGAGGAGACAAAGGAAAACGCATACTCCTTTAACAAAGAAAAAACAGATTTTTCATTTGTTCTTTTCATTACTGAATGCCAAGTTCACTTCAATGTCCCAGGTGGATAGAACAAAAGCTGGGTGTCTAGTGGTAGAAACTGTTCTCAAAGCTTAAATCTGAAGTATCAACAATATGGAGGTGATGAAATGCTGAGCTCAAGGCCAATTCCAAATGGTGTTAACAGTCCAGAGACACACACACATTTTGGTGAGCAACTTAAATTTTGCTAGTTTTCCAGCTCATTTGGCATTATTTATTTGGTTACCTGTAGTGTGTATGCAGTTGCTTATAGCTAGTTATTTGATTTACCTAACTGTTGCAGGTTTGAAAGACTGAAAGCTATTTTTTATAGCTTTCAGGAAATAAAAATTATTACCTATGGAATTTTAAGTATTTGATATTCAGTAATAATTTTTGCTCTGTCTCTGACAGCTCTCCCTGAATCTATATTCCCTTGGAAATTCCATACAGCAGATTACCCTTATATATATATATATATAGCTAAACATGGAACCATGGTTCAAGAAGCCAAACACTTTTAGAATGATATCTTTTATGCAATCAATACTTAAGAGATAGCTGAAGAAAATGGATTCCTAAAGTAGACTGTTCTCGTTCCACTGCCCATATTTAGGCATATGTATAGGAAACTAGATGAGATACCCCTAGAAATGGGCAGTAGAACAAGAACTGTCTACCCACATAGACTAAAGGCTTCCCTTCAGAATTTCCTGTAGGTTACAGAGATCAATATACACCTAATGAAGGACAGAAGGAACAATATCCAAAATATAACAAAGATGACAACAATAGTCAGAATCTAAATAGTGTAAATAATGATAACTCTTCATCCCAGTAATTCAGACAGAAGTACATACGAGTAAAAACTTAACTAGTTCTCGTTTTATTTATAGTCAGCCAAGAATCTGAACTAGATTATAAATTCTTTTTTTCAGGACTCTCAAACTTTAGCAACTGAAACTATTTTAAAAATTAAAAAAATAGCACCATAATTGAAAAAAACAAAATATTTTGCCATATTATGATTAGACTGAGGGGAGCAAAGTTTTGTTGATAAATTCTGTTTTCAAAAGAAAACCATGGTAATATTCAATAATAATAACTGTCGAGTTGGCTAACCAGATAAGTCACTTCAACATTTCTTTAATTATTGAATATTATAGCTCTAATTATCTATTTGAATGCTTTTTAGCCGAAATTCTGCTAGCAAGAAAAAAAAAAAAAAAAAAAAATTATATATATATATATATATATATATATATATACCTCTCCCAAAGGTATATTTACATAAAAATAAATACAACCCAACTGAAATCTGCTCTGATTTTCATTTCCAAGCTGTTATCCATCACACCACCCACACATCCAAGCTTACAGCACCTGGTATTCACAAGTGGTTTCCTTCCTATCATTTTATTTGAAGTAGTGTGGAATATTAACAGCTTGATTATATCATTATTTTCTCTTCCTGTTACATGTGCTATCCATTTTAGTTGTTGCTGCTATTGGTAGTCCTCAACCAGGCTCAATGTTGCTAACTTTCAACATGATATGGTCATAAGCCCATTTTATTTTTTTTTGCAGGCAGTTTCAGACATTAAAGTTAAATATTCCCTAACTTTTTTAGCTGAAGGTTTTAATAATTGAACTATCATTTGGAACTTCAACAGATTTTTTCTCCATAGGTTATTGGATCAAATTTAACTTTAGATAATTCAGATTACATGATTTTCAACTTGCCCTCCAGGAAGTAAATCATTTTAAATTAAATTGCTTCAAACAATGATTGAAAATTGACCTAGGAGTTGAAAATTAGAAAAGATTAGCTTTTACATGGTAAACAGTAATATTAGCCGTTTCCCTACAAGGGAACATTTGGCATTCATTGACCAAGCAGCCAGGAAAACAGGAAAACCTTTTATTTGAAGTAGTGTGTAATGTTAAAATCTTGATTATATCATTATTTTCTCTTCTCATTTCATGTGCTATTCATTTTAATTGTTGCTGCTGTTGGTAGTTGTCAAGTGATTTGGTTTCTGTTATTTGGTACAGTTTGTGTCCCTCCACAAAATGGTAAATTTCATGCCGGCATTCACTTGATTTAAATCCACTTGTAAACTATAGACTCCAGGGTCAACTAATTGGGAATGTGGTTTCACACTGATGCCATATAGACACCTATAAATACATTCCCTATGATTATTATATGTTAAATAATATAAGAAGTTGAAGCCTTTATTATAATAACCAAAGATTTTAAAACAATGTACTGTATGTCTATAGTAAAGTTATGAATACAAAAAATCACTCTGAAATGTAAAAATAGCCTATTTATCACTGTTACTTGCAGAACTCCAAGGTTCCAGAGAACATTGGCTGAGAAACACTAGTATAGAGAGAGTAGGTAAGTGCCCAAGCAGAAGGGGAAGAATACAATATGCAAGATTAACAACTACTACTGTACTGAGAAAATATGAAGCAAATGACATTTCATTACATATTTTATTCCTGTGGGTAGCAATTTTCAAGGATAACTAGCACAAGAAAAACAATGTTTCTTTTTTATTTAAGAGACAAAATAATAAAAATACAATCAGCAGTTTATTTTTGTTAATTTTTTTTTGTGGGGCGGGGTGGGGGGGATGTGGGGTGTTCCATTTTAAAATCTCATGGTGGTAGGGAAGGAGGGTACTGATAATATGTAAGAGAATCGCATAAATGCAAGGGGATTAAATATTATTCAGTTTGTGGAAACATTACTGAAGAAATTGATAAAAGTCTGTTTTATTTATTTTTTTTCTCCCCCCCCCTCAAACATATAGACAAAAGTGACCAAAGACAATATTACAAGAATTAATTTTAAGATGCTTCATTAAAAGGTCTGTATACTTACTGGAAACACTATTTACTTTGTGGTAGTGAATTCAAACAATGAGGAATAAAAGGAATAAATTTTCAGCACAAAAAAAGAATAATTTAAAATGGAGCAATGAGAAATTTTAGTAAATTTGTCTGCAGGAAAAAGAAAAAAAAAATTGAAAGCAGAGACAATCAGACTGTAATGTAAAATTCATCAAAAATAAAAATGTGTCTTGGAAAAAAGTAAAAAAAAAAAAAAAAAAAAAAACCCTTTATAAATTGTACATAAAGTTCAAGAAAAAAAAAAACAAAAAAAAAAAAAACAAAAACAAAAAACAAATGTTAAGCCCATTTCAAGAAAAGAGGAAATATAATGGAAAAGAAGTATTAAAAAGAAGGAATGGTATTTGAGAAAAAAAAAAAGGATAAAAAATATTTTACAAAACTTTAAACAGTTGAGTGAAATAAATTTTTAAAAAGTTTTAAGCATATACAAAGATAAATGATTAAAAGTAATACTAGTTTTAAAAAATGTACTTAAAGATTGTTTACAAGAAAAAAAAAAAAAAGAAAAAACGATTTTTATAGTTTTTAAAAATGTACTTAAATTAACTTCAAAAATATTAAAAAATTGACTTTAAATTGAATGATAATGTTTAAAGTTTCTGAATCATTAAAATCTTTTAAATTAAAAAAAAAATTAAATCAAGCCTTAGACTTTTACAAAAATGATTTTAGAAGAATCATTGCTGAATATTTTACTCATGCATGTGCACAAACACACACAAGATGCCACCTAAAAGTTTTGAGAATTTGACAACAGGCAAAAAAAAACAAAAAAAACTCAAGTAATCCTCTCTCCTGTTTTCATACTCAACTGTAACATGTACTGCCCGCATATAATATTGGTGGCAAAAGTCGGTCTGTATGTAATCTGTTCAAATTCCCAAAACCTATTTAGTAACATCTCATTAACTATAACACTGTAGCATTGATAGTTTAATCATAATAGAAGTTGTTGCAAAGTGGAGAAGTAATATTTTGGAATGAAAGACAAATGCAGATCAATCAATCAGTGATCAACAGAGGAACAAAGAGGATAATTTCTTCATTCTGTCCCTTTCAGGAATGGCTGTTAAAGTTCTTTGTTATTGTTTCTTGAAAGGTTTTATTTTCTGGATTTTTTATGACACTCTGCAAGAATTTCAGGGTATCTTGGTGTAGCCGTTCAATTTCTCTGTTCACAATACGGTTCTGCTTAAGAATATCTGCTGTCTTGATAGTTATTTCCATCAATCCTGAACGCTGAAGTGCACTGGCTGTTCGTAAGAAACGAATCTTTTTGTCCGAAGAGATATTGCCCAGTTCCTCAGAAGAGCTATTCTGCTTAGTCTCTAAGTTTTCAACATCAACCAGTTGCTCAGAATTATCCAGTAAATTATCCGCTCCCTTCTCCAATGGTTGACACTTCAAGTAACTTGCACTTTGAGAGCTGTAACCTGACTCATTACCAGACTCCTTTTCAGACAGGATTGAATAGAGCTCTTTTGGAATTGGCAAGCAGTCTTGTGATGATAAACTTTCAAAACACCGTTTCCCATATTGGGTCTTTGTACCAGACAATCCAATATGTGGTTTCTAAAAATTGACAAAATAAATAGGAGTTTGTTAACAAAATAAAAAAAAAAAAAAAAAAAAATAATGGGATTTTTTTCTTATCAAAAAGAAAAAAAATTGTACAAATACAATGAAATGCTATAACATTTTAATGGAACAATTTGAAGATAATATTTATAGGTGTAGTGTGGGAAGGGCAGGAAGGGTGATGCCCTGGGCTCTAAATTTTTAGGAGCACAAAAAAAAATAGGTTGAGAAAATATGTACAAAAATAGAATTTAGAACAACACATGGCTAAGGAGGAGGCATAATAATTTAAATTAATCCATGCACTTTTACCCACCCTGCATCACTGTTTACAATATATATAAATATATATATATATATATATATATATCTGGCAAACATGAATCTTTATGTCCGAAAAATGGAGTGTCAGAAGGACAGTTTTTTTCCATGACACCACCTTTAACTACCTTCACTCTTCAGCAATATTCATTGTTTTGAAGAGTGATGATTAGAATTATAATAAAACCTAACTATATGACAAAAGTGAATGGTAAATAATAAATATTGCATTACATTAATTTTAATTCAATCTAATAGTGTTTAATATTTTTGTTGTCAATTCTAAAGAACAAAAGAAAATACATAAATTCACTTTCATAGGTTTAGGTTTTATTACAATTCTGATCATCACTTTTTAAAACAAAAGAAAGTGGAAGAGTGAAGATAATTAAAATAAAAACAGTCTCATGAGAAAAACAGTCCTCTTGACATTATATTTATTTGTGGGCACAAAGGCCCTAGTTTGCCATATATTTTATACTCAGTTGTAAAAAAGATCTTTTTTATAAAATTTTAAGAAAAAATAAAACGGAAAATTATAAACAATTTAAAAAAAATTCAAAGTGACCTCTGATTTTTGAATTAATAGTGATGGAGGGAAAAAAAAAATAAACAATTAGAATCAGAAACAATGTTGAAATTTCTAAAAAGGTACATAACAAAGAGCAATATATATATATATATATATATATATACACACACATATATATATATATATATGACATGAGGTCCTGCATTTATGGCTGGTTATGCGTATTTTAGGAATCCTCACTGCCCACCCCAATAGGGGAAGGCCCTATATAAGGTGGGTTAAACATTGGATGCTATCACCTTCAGCTGGCTGGGAAACTGCCTGTTTTCTGCAGTTACACAGAAGTCAATGAACAATCCAACACTCAGCAACAAGTTCCATCAATGACACACACACACACACATGTGTATGTGTATAATATATTTTTAAACAGTTAATGGGTTTTTATTTTTAATCAGACATACTCTTACTACTTCAAACATTAGTGGATACCTATATTTGAGTAGATGCTCAATTTATTTTAAACAGAATTTATTTCATCTACTGGCCTGTGTAGTTGAGATAACATAATAAAGAAAATGTGCCCTATGCTTATCCACTAAAAATAACTTTTGAAATAAAAACATATCGCTATATAACGAAATCTTTTGGTGACAACATATTACACACAAAGATAAAAAAATTTAAATTCAAAACAGTCAAAAAGAGGCATACTATAATTGAATCCACTTTAAATTTAATTTTTTTTTTTTTATCCTTTCACCCGAGGCCAGGCAATGAAGCCACTAAGGTACAAGAAGTTATGGAGTGTGAGAGAGAGTAGGAGAAAGAACAAGAGAACAATAAAGGAACAGGAATTAAGCAAAAATAATGTCTGACATTGATCTTCAAAAATGTAAATGCAAAGTTGACTGGAAAGCAAGAAGCCAAAAGAGAACTTCACAAGCAAGAAGTGTAAGAGAAGAAACTGTTAGCATAGAACTTATGGTGGCATCCAGCCACTTCAACTGCAAAACAATGAGCACGTTATCACATATGGCACATAACTGAATAAAAAGACAACAAAATAACAATATTGGCAATAAGATTGATGATATTTATTATATATTATTAACCTTTAGACTAAATTGAAGCACAAAGAGAAAGATTTTGAAGTCAGAATTTTCAGACATGCCTGTGTCCTTTTTCAACAAGATAAGGAATAAACAAAGAAGTGGGATTTACTCTTCCATTGGTTTAAGGAACTATATTTGGAACTGTGGAAATGATATTCTCCAAGTCAACCCAAATCCCTGTTTAATCCTTTAGTGTATGATTTTATTGTCAACCATCAAAGACAACAACAATTTTCCCTGTCACTGCACACTTCAACCAACTGTTCCACAGCATTGATGATATCAGATATGTGCTTTAAGCATCTTTATTTAACAGCTGACAAGATGCAAACCAGAGTCAAAATATATTTTCAAAATAAAATCATACAATAAAGGATTAAACAGGGATTTGGGTTTACTCAGGAATATAGTTTCCACAGGGAGCCCTTTAACCAACAACAACATTCCTTGGAAGAGTAAGTCCCACTCTGTGAAAGGAAATCTTATGCATGTGTAAACAGGCTCTCTCTCATGGGGTTACTCAGTCAGCAGTTGGATACCAGTGAGCAGGTTTATATACTGAGTTTTTTGGCAAAATAACCTTCAGTATCCATATCTGTCAGTCTTTTTACACTTCAGATTTGGCTTCATTAACTTCTGGCATTTCCTGAAGGTAAATTTCCTATTGAAATTTGGCTAAAATTCCTCTCCTTTAGATTTGAATTTTCTCTTCTGAGAGTTAAGTGTCTCCACATTTAAGAATCACCGATTTTTATCAAATAATCAAAATTAAATTAATTTTTAGGATGAAGACTTATCTTTTATATTCCAACTATTATTCACATCTTTGTTGCTATTATCACGTTTGGGTTGTTGTGACTGCTGGCCTTCCTCAGATGCTTGTCCATCTGGGTAGCCTTCAGGGAATTTTGAAGTGAATCCTTTATTTAATCTATAAATCACTAGACATGGTCAATGGAGTGAGAACAATCAACACCTGTAATGGGTTCAGTTCGAAATTCCCTGAAAGTTATCTGGATTAGCAAGCACCTGATGAAGGCCAAAGGGCACAATGGCTGAAATGTTATAAGAAAGATGAGGACAACAGTCTGTAACTAATAAGGACAACCACAGGGATTTTATCTGAACCAGCCTTCCAAGGTCAAGGCTTTTGATAAGTCTGGAAACTTCCCTGGCTGTGATTAAGATGTTACTAAGTTTGTGCTCTGTTCGAGAGGGAAAGTTAGGAAGAGGATGGTCCTTGTCATCTAATGTGGAGCTAGAGGCAAAGTTCATTATGAAGAGCTTAGCCTTATCTGATGAGATAATCTCAGGGCCATTTATGATAGTAGGCACTGATGCTTTAACTCTATTGAAATTTTTCAGAACTAACAAGATCCAAGTCTTTTGGAAATAATAAGCAAAATGAAGTCAAACCAAGTTTTCAAGTTTCTTAATTTTAATCTGTAATTATTATTTGTTTTGGCTTCCATTTTTGCCATCTTAGGTTCAATCAGTTTCAAAACCAGACAGTTTAAATATTTTCAATATCTTCAATGAAGGCTTTTTATTTATTAAATAAAATGAGTATTTGAATAGTAAAAACAACAAACTTACTGGAACCATTGGTTCGGTGCTCGACTTTGGTTTGTCATCTTCAAATGTATCTGTTTCTAATCCTGTCAGAGAAAAGAAAAACACTATTATATAACTGACATTAAGCATTGCTTCTGATCAATCAATAATATCCATGTTGTAAAACAATTATGTAATTTGCAAAATACAATGTGATTTATTTGTACATTTTAATATGAAAATCATTTTCTAATTTAAAAGCAAGAGATCAATTGTGAATTTGACATCACTGTTTCCTCATGTTATTTCTAAAACTTTTATGACTTATCTCCCTTGCCTAACAACTACTTGTCACTTCACTTATGTATGAATTTACTTTTTGTATTTATTCCAATATACTTTTAATTTGTTTCTGCTTGCTTAGTCAAATCATTTTATTATTTTGATCATTATATTTTCCTTTTAATTTATCTAAGTGGACACCGAGGTCATCTCCAAGTGGCAACAGTGTGTTTCATGCTTGAACACAATCTTCAGTCTAGGATGGTCTGAAGATTGCATTCAAGCATGAAACAGACTGTCGCCACTTGGCGTTGGCCTCAATGTTGACTTTTATATTTACATATACGCTATCTCTGATATTGAGCACTTTCACCCATAAATATATCCTACCATAAAACTTTATTTTTATCATATACCATTTGCTCTTGCTTTGAAAATTGCTGCCACATCTGGTCTGGTAGTCCTGCTATATATTTAGAGATTCTTGATAAAATCCAAAGAAGAATCGGCAATATTATTCACCTGGCATCTCAGCTTCAGTCACTTTCCCACTGCCATAATGTAGCTTTCCTATGCCTTTTCTATAAACAGTTTTATGGTAATTGTTCTGATGAACTCTCTGCTATGGTAGCTAGACTTTATGAATTTAAGTGCAGTACTAGATTGGTAGCAAGGTCTCATCAATTTACAGTTGAATTGGCTGCTAGATGAAACTATGCTAACAATTTTTCTTGCACTTCTCACTGTGGAAGTCTCCTGGCTCCATACTTTCCAGCCAACTTTGATCTTCAAAAATTTAAATGCAATATTAATAGTTATCTACTATCTTCATGATTACTCTTCTATTGTTCTTGCTCCTTAGTGTTTCTCTTGTTTTCTTATTCTTTCACACTCACTAAGCCCTTGTGGCTTAGTGGCTTTACTGCCTTGCATGGGGTGAAATGATTAAAACATTATGAAATTATAAAAACAAAATTCAGATATAAATTTACACACAAATAATTCTACCAATCTTGTCCCTTTATTGAGAATTTTTTTTCCCTTATTTTTATTGTTTATTATAATTTCTTTTGTATTAAATGTTCAATTTAATTTACTTTTCAGTGTCCCGACTAATTGTCTGAGCAATTTATCTTACAATTGATGTATTTAGTTATTGGAATAACATTATCCTGTGTACTATAGTCCTGTTTCTCAATTAGTGGGTTTGTAATCAATTTCCTAAGTAACTGTTAACTCCTTCCTGGTGACTATGATAAGTGTAATTGTAATTCTATGCTTAAATATTTCTATTTTCTAAATAGGAGACACTCAAACTTCTAAGTTGTAGAGCTGGACTTCCCTACTACACTGACAAAGGACTGGTCTTACTTATAAATATGGCAAGAAGTAGCCACATTAGAGTGGGAGTCAAACAGTATTTAATTTACTTGAGTATGTAATAAACCTCACCTTCTTTGTTTCCTCTACCAAATCTTCTGTTCCTTCAAAACTAACTATGACCTTCCTAATTCTTGGCTATTTTGAACAAAGACAACATTACAACACTTAACATTGAATAACACAGACTTCCATAACTCCCCCTAGCACATATACACTGAGCAAATCATACACCTAACCCAACTGCTCTTGCACCAAACCTACTTCCTTTTTGTTAAATTTTGGGCTGAAAATATAAATCTGAATAGAGGTGATTGCTGTGGTTTCAGTCATAACATCAAAGTTCTAATTTGATTGTTCAGTCGTCTTGCTAAGTTAATGTACAAATTGAGAAACCTATAAATTTTTGGTAGCAGCAGATAGATAACTTGCCTATGCTTGTCCAAGTAACATGGCTTCTACGATATTAAATCAAATAAACAACTTTTGTTACCCGACCCCTATCAGTGGGTTTTTTAGTCCTCATATATAAATGAGAGAAGCTTGTCTTGATACCTTAGATCTCTGGCTGGTATGATGTTTTTGACCCAAGGAGGAGCTCTGTTGCCTTGACTTCTGAGTAGACAAGACGTACACTCAGGGTATCATGCTTGTATCCTTTTTGTTGGATTGTTTTGTCCCATCATTAAGTGTGCTGGAGGTAAAGGTTTTCTGGATTTTGGTGTTATCTGTCTGATAGTCAGGGATTTGAACATCAGCAGGTGTATAATATTGGGGCTATTGTACTACTATTTTGTGAATGGGCTCTGGATCCTGCAGTAGTCTCCAGTGGAGCCTCTCAATGTCAGGAGGAAGAAGTACCATTACGGCTGTACCTATGGACAAATCAAACCAGGTTATTTATTTATGCATGCATCTCCAATGGCTGTGCTTGTCTCACTACCTACTAGTCTTCCACAAAATAAAATACAATCTATATATAAAATCAATTAAGATGATCAAAATTAGAAACCCAACCAAAAAAAAAAAAAAAAAAAGTGTGGGAGTAGACCCCCCCAGGTATACCATCTCCCATAAATTTCTGTCTGAAACAGGTATCAATGCTTCTATCACAGACTACTCACTCCTAATAGCCAAACGCAACTACCTAAATTGCCATGGAGCCCCTACATTAAGGACAGGTTTCCCTGCAGCAAGGACATAAGAACCTTGATCTCCCATATATGTGCTTCTGTGTAGTACTTTTCCATAGTATCGCATTCATTTCATTATTGTTTCCAGGATAATGCAACACTAATTTTCGATTGAATATCTGAGACGATTGATAATATCCTCATCGAATGTTCCTCAGCCACCTTTTGTATCTGTGTTTACTTCAATATTCACTGCAAAGACAAACAAATCCAATTTAGAAGGCAGATGTTTCCCTATCATCTATGGACTAGTCCAGATCAAAGAACCCAGCTGCATCTCTCACATGATGAGACACCAGGTGTACACCCACAACGTTTCCCAAAAAATGCTTAGTAAAATTTAGCGAGATTCTATGATGATATTTCTCAGACTTGTTGATCCGCTTGCCAATCACTGCCATGAAAATGCAACAGCCATGAAATCCTCCCATTCATAAATTAATGAAGTTTTTGAGGTCTGCGTTCTGAGGATTGTTGAGAATCTCTAAAGCCTTTGTGTAGATTGCTTGATCCAGAACTAAATCTGAGCTAGTTAGTCCAATGTTTTCTTCTTTTTCTTTTACCCGGTTGAGAACCTCAAGAACAGTTGAAAATTTTGTTGGAGAATCATTAATTGCAGGCAAGTAGAAGACTTTATGAGGCTCTTTGATAATCTCTGGTTCCGTTTCATAGAAGAACCCTGAGTAGCTTGGCACAACTCGCACTGAGAAATACTCCTTTGCACTTTTGTGACAGAAAAGCCAAATCAGGTCATCCCTTTTTGACATTATATCTTGCAGGTAGCTGCTGTTTGTCTCAAACTCTGATCATTGATGGAGTAGGTCGCTCTTTAGGATGACAGGAAGGCTTTGTCTCACTTAGAACAGGTTGGAAAGAAGTATGCTGTGAATGTCTTGTCAATGTGAATTCACCCACGTTGGACCGGTTAACGACAAAAATTTGATTATCTTGCTTCTGAATTATAATTCCATTGGTGCAATTCATGGATGCACCACCTAAACTCTCTGGCTTGTGGTCACAATTATCAAACACAAATGTGGAAGGTACAACCAAGTTAGGTACAAAACCATGCAAACATTGAAGATGTTTCAAATCTGTTGACTTCAATGTAGGACATTGCATGTTTTAGTCTGTTCAAATAGGTCACCATTTCTCTTGAACCTGTCTTATGTTTTATCATCAGACCAGATTACAGAGGTTTAACTGTTCCGATTCATCTGTGAGAAGTGCTAAACAAGATATCTTGGCCAATTGATTTCATGAGCCGGTTTGTTCATTTGGAGGCATTGTTGTCTTTGGACAGCAGAGTCTGCAAGAAGTTTTTCAGCATATCGGGTATCAACACTCTTATTTCACTTCTTGGGAGAGAGGCCAAGTCAAAAATTGGCTGGCTGCATTGCAGATCTCGTCCTTGATAACTTTTGCACACTTTTTGTTCTGTTGTGAGAAACATGAAGCTGCTCAATTCAGAATGTTCTACTGTACACAGACATTGAAAATCCTGGTTTCTTTTGGAAGAAAGCTACCTCATCCCTGAAGTAATCTTGAAGTTTGATCTTTGTGCCAGAAGAAGCATTCGTAGAAACATGATCCCTGATACCTCTTTCAACTAACATCTCTGAATACAGGGAATCAAACTGGCACAATCTCAATACTTGACCATTCTTAACAACATGATCCTTCATGAACTCAATAACATATGGAAAACACTCATCTGTTTTCCAGGTCCCTTGATTTCTGCCCGTCTTCTTGTTGGCTTGTTTCGATTTCATTTAAGGTCTTCTTTCTTGTGATTAGCCTGGATAAGTCTATGTAACAAGAACGATGATAATGAAACCCCTTCACTCTCACATCTTCCTTAGCCCCAAGACCAGAGAATCGAGCCATCACATCAATATCATCTTATACATATATCGATCTTATACAGCATTGTTTTTTTTTTTTTTAAAGATTTATTCAAAAAATAAAATGCAAGTCAAATTAGACACATTACCACAAAAACTCATAAAATCAGATGAATCATGCACATAAAATCAAATCTGGTCTGTAAAGTACCCTCCAACATGCAAAAATGTGTACATTCTATTTTTGCACTTTAATGTATCTTTATGATGTCATGAACATTGCATTTTAACACATTCCAGAACAATGTATTCCCAATTTGGTTTGGTTGATCTGATGTTGGAGTTTTTAAGCCCATTTTAATGGATTTTTGTGTATGTGCCTTCTGGTTTGCAAAATACACACTCGTAAGTAATTCTGACAGGTCCAACATTTTTTTTTCTGAAACTTCATGTATGCATGCATGCTCTGGTATAGGTAACAAATTACCCCCTCCATATGTATGGGTTGACCCCCATCTCAAGCCTGTACTACTACTATCTTTCCTTTTCCCGGTGAAACCAAGTAGCATCTGTCACATGTCTTCTGTCTTTCTGAGTGATCAAAATGGAATAGTTCATTATTTATGCAGTATTGACAGAATGTAACTGATGCAAAAGAAGAGACAAGCAAACACACACACACACACACACACACACACAAGGTGTCCATAAAGTTTGTGTGAACTTTAAAAAAAATTTATAACTATTTGTATTTGCATCAGAAATAATTTGTAAAAAGGATTAGAAAGAAGTAAATCTATATTTTTTAAGATTTTATTGAAATTTTATTTAAGTTTCCACATGTTCTCCATCATTAGCAATACAAAGGGTAATATGATTTTGCAGTTTGCAGAAAAAATTTGCCAACTGATTTACAGTAATGCCGAAAATCACATTAGTTATTTTAGCTATACTTAAAACTAGGTAGATTAAACTTTATAACATTTTTTACAGATTATTTCTATCAGAATACAAATAAAGTTATAAATTTTTTAAAGTGCACACGAACTTTATGGACATCCTGTGTATATATTTCCTTTAGTTCAACAAACTCACCTCAGATTTTGTATTCAGTTGTCCTTCTCCTACACTGGTTACTACTAAATCTAGAGATTTCAGTCTGTTCTACTATTTAACCCATAGCTGAAGGGGAGAAGAGATGGATTTATACCTTTCCCAAGGATAAATGCCTCATAAGTGAATGCAATGAACTTGACTGGATTTTGAACTCTGCTCTCTGATTTCTTGTTGCCTGCCACTATCTATAACATCACCTGCAAATAGCATTCCTGCCCTATTGGGTTGCAATGTAAATTTGTAGTAATCGTGAATAGAGGACAATTATCGGCCCTACCATAACAGATTTGTGAAAAGGAAAAAATCCAAAAACAGTTTTTAATATTTACTCAAATAAATTGGCTGTGTCGTGCCACTGTCACAGGAATCTTTGATTGAAGATCGGGGAACTTTTGTTCGTACATTTTTGAAGTCTTTACATTGAGTAATTTGTGGAGCTGAAAAGAAAAAAAACTGAATTAGATAAAAAAAAAAAAAATGCAGTAGAAAAATAAGTAGGTTACCAAGAATTAGGGCCTTACAGCCATGTCAACATCAGTTATTATATGATTACAGAAGTTAAGCAATGATGAGCCTGGTCAGTGCCTAGATCGTTGACTGCTTGTGAATACCAGTAGTGTAAAGGATAACAGGTCATAATTGGAAATCGGAGAGACGAGTTCCAATTCCAGTCAGGTTTGTTATATTTACTGATGCACAAATATTCTTGGGAAAGGTATGAATCCATACCTTCTCCCCCACAGTAATGGGTTATTTAGTAGAACTTGTACCAGTAAATCATGATTATCTCAAAAATAAAAAAAGTAACCTTCAAAAGGTTAATAATCCATAAAAACCAAGAATGAGAATTTCTTTTTATTAAGATTGAGTTTTCACTATGAATTAACTAAAAGGCTAAACACACATATAGCTCTGTATATACTTAGATGCTTATCTATAAGTTATAACTCACATGACCATTTGTCATCTTAAGATAAGCAAGTGTTCCAGATTTTCAGGTGCATAATCTGAGAAATTTTGAAAAATTCAAGGGAAAAAAAAAAAAAAAAAAAAAAAAAAAGGAGGTGGGGTTGTATTATATACAAGTATGTTTTCAGAGATTTCTATTCAACTTAAAAACCTTATTTCAAACAGCAAGACTAAATGCACTCAGTGACTACAACAGATACTAAAACACAAAGTAGGCAGCTGTTGATAACAATTGCTTACAAAATGTATTTGATAAGTTGGCAATATTCATTTTTTTTATAGTTCTGCTCACAAGCTAAAAATTTTTTTTTATATTTTAATTTTCTTTTTTTTTTATATAAAAGTTTTGTCATCATTCTTAATGAATGATTTTTTTTTATTTAATAAAGTCATATCAAAACATATGATACATTAATTAAGACCTTAAAATGTATCACTAATTGTCTAGTTAGCACCTTTCCCTGAAAATAAGTTTTGAAACGGAAATTAGGATAAACACACAATGGCTAAACATCTGGTTCATTTCTATTCTTTAATATAAAAAATTAAATGTTTAGTGAAATATATGTATAACATTGAGATTTTGATGGATAATATGGCAGAACAAAAAAAAAAAAAAAAAAAAAAAACATTTACATAGGGCTGGCTGCAGTGACATGCAGAGGTTTAGTGATGCCTGGGGCCAATTCCTTGATCGTATGCCCCTTAGATTTAAGTGTGATGAGGTCTACTCCAGTCTCTCTTGTCAAAACACAGATCCACATTCATACCAGCTTGTGGGACTGCAAGGCACTTGTACAATGAAGTTAACAGAGAAAATTTCAAAAATTGAATTTTTATTTTACTCTTTGATTGTATGTCATCTCTATATGGATGCCACTACATCTACATGCTACTGGATGGCTGTTATGGAATTTGTGATTGTGTTGAATCCACCATGCCAATAACCACTATGCTACCCACATCATATTTTCATTACTATTACAATAAGTTAAAATGTCACATATTTGTTAATAATCTTTTTATTGCTTCTGATCTTAAGAGAGAAACTCTAGATGCCCCCAACTCAGAACTACTTTTATTGGTTTATTCTCACACTTTTCTAGATGTTAGTTTGTCTATCATCTATTGATCTTGAGGGTTTGGTCCACCTTACAGTGCATGTGTAATCAGACTCTCCCATGAGGTTATGCAGTTAGCAGTAAAGTACCACTGAGTAAACTTGTGTAACTCTTGCGATCCCAATGACAGAGCATTGATAGATTCTTCATATCTTAAGGTAAGGTTTTTGGCAATATATTGTATCATACAGAGACATTATCCTCTCCCTAACCAACAATGAAATGAGACCTCTGAACCAAAGCAACAGAAGTCCAAGTTACATATTTTGATAAATATCACCAGACAAATTACACTGATCTACAAAAATGAATCTATTATCATATTGACGCTTTTTCAAAAACTGATTATATTACTAACCTGCATTCTGGGTAGGTGAGGCGGTTTTAGAAGCAAGCATCTTAGATAATTATCATCATACTACAGTTGCCAATTTCTTTTTAATCATTTCACCCTGAGCAAAGCAATAAAACCACTAAGACAAGAATTAAGAAGACAAAACATAGCAATTGTCATTGAATTTAAATTTTTGAAGATCAAACCTGACTGAAAAGCAAAAGGCCGGAAGAGTTCCACAAGCAAAAGGGCAAGAAAAGAAACTATTAGCATAAAATTTAGATCTAGCCATTTCAACAATAAAATGAGGAGACCTTGCCGCTAATCTAGTAATGCACTTAAATTCAAAGTGTATAGGTACCACAGAGGAAAGTTCATCAGAACAATTACTATGAAAAGTATTTATAGAAATGGCAAAGGGAAACTACGTTATAGCAGTGAGAAAGTGACTGAAGCCAAGAAACCAGGTCAGGACCAATGACACTGTAGATTCTTTTGATTTTATCAAGGATCTCTAAATATATATCAGACCATTATTTGGTAGCTGAAGACTACTAAATTCTGCATTTCACTAGCTGCCACTCGGTCTTTTAAAACAAACTGAGGTGGCCAAGTAAATTCAAAATTTAGTCATACATTCAAGTGCTACCTATTTTGGCAAACGTATGAATTTTAGGTACTTTGGCTTTATAGTTTAACAAAAATGTTTGTTGGGGAATTAGAAAATTACCAATAAATTTTAATTTTACTAGTTACCACTTTTGATAATGTGTTTAGACATCTGTATTTACAAAAATCAGCCCATTTATATACACATAAAATGAAGACAAAATTCTTTTTAAAATATTGGCAGTCATTGAAGTATAGTGAGCTTTTCTATTTATTAGTAAATAGTCTTAATTTTAATAGCAATATCATTTGACTGGTACAAATTAATACAGAATTTTAAAAGATTTAAAAGATTATTCAAATTAAAATTTAAAGAAAATGAAAACAATACTTGTAAAAATTAATTAATTGAAAAGATTTTTTTCCTAATACAATAGTGTCCATAATATATTTTATTCATAAAAGCAATTAAAAGCTTTTCTAATTAAATAATGTCTCCGTTTTTTTTGCATTTATTATCTTATGATTCAGAGGAGATTTTCTGTAATTGGGGGTCCTGTTTGAGCAAAAACCTTTCATGGTTTAAATTCTTTGAGGACTTGACCTTACAACTAATAAACATTAAGCACTACAAAAAAGAATTTCTCAAAATTTCATAAAAGTGGGGGTTGGCAGATGTTAAAAAAAAAAAAAAAAAAAAAAAATTATAATATATATATTTCTCTTAAAAAAGGAACATTTAAAAATAATTTCATCCATTTTTGTGAATAAGCCCTGAAAGTTCTACAATTATCTGATTTTTGCAAGAATTTCCAAATCAATGTGTTTTTCATTGCAAAAAGCTGTTAAAATATCCCATCTTAATTTACATTCATCTGTTGACACAAGAAAAACAACAATTTTAATCCAAATTTCAAAGGGTCTTAAAAAGGATCAAAAATTATAATTCAATAATAAAAAATTCTTTGGTCTTTCCTGTAAATAATAAAAATTTTGACAATAAAACTATCTTTTCTTAAGCTTGGAAATATTTTTTCAACATGTATGCTCATTTGTTTTTTAGCAGATCTTTGGAAGTACCTATATTTATGCAGGATTTAATTTAGAAATATCATCTTAATAGCTTCTGATCATGAACATAATGATGAGAACATATTCAACATAGAATGTGATAAAAAAAACAAGATGAAGATCAGACAAAAATATTGAAAATACTTCATTTCAATTAAAAAGAAACATTACAATATGGAGATTTTGAAAGGTTGCAAGATCATTGTGGATTTGCACATTGTTTAGTCATAGCCTTCTCTGAATTAATTAAAGTACATTGTCCATTGTTGTGGGAAAGATCAGAAAGAAAAGGAGAAAAATTGAGAGATAAATTTAAATCATTAACCAACCGAACAAGTGTCTATGGAAGGAGAAAATGAAAGAAACAGAAGACAGCAAGAGAGGGGGAATTATTTAGGTGAAAGGAGGAAATCAAATGCATTGTGGGAGAATGGTTAGAGAAATAATGGGGTATGAAGAGGGAAGCTCCAGTTTCTAATAATTACGTGTATGAGAAAGAAACCAGGGAAGGAAATAGAGAGGTGAAAAAAGAATCAGGTTTATTTCATTTCATGAGGAAAATAAGGCTTCTGCTTGAACCTTACCTTACAATTCCCTCATCACAAAAAAAAAAGAAGAACAAAAAAAAAAAGAAAAGAAATCCGAGTGAAACGTTCATTACATAAATCTATTTAATTTTCAGTTCTTTCTTTCCTGCCATTTGTTTTCTTTTCCTTTTTTACTGTCTAAAAAGATGTACAATTTACAATTGATTTTGAAATTACAGGAATACTAATGAGTGTTGATGACTTTTTTTTCTCATTTTTTATTTCTTATTCAAATCTCATCCATGAAGAAAATCTAGCAGGATACAGGGTGTGAGTTCATGTCACTTTAAAAGTACATTTATTATTTTAACTTCATGTTGCTGACTTCAACAATCAGAAGGTATTCAGCTTAGAATAATGTGATAAAAAGCAACAATAAAATGAACCAAAATGAATAGAGAAATATTATAATGATGTAGCCATTAATTAATATGAAAAGTTAAAAGTGGCTTACTTAAAAAGACTTGAGTCCTGTGTGTTCCTGGCTGCTCAGGTGGTGCTGGGTCAGCACTACAACATGCCCGATCTTCAAGTTTTGGCTTCTTAATAGCAGGTGTATTGGAGTCCATTGTAACTCATCTTGAGTTGTGGCCAGCACAGGACTTTATAATCTGAAAAACAAAAAACAAAATGATAATAAAAATAGTAAGATCATCATGAAGGTAGAGCTGGCTAAAATTCAGAGGTCCCAAGCTGCAGCTCAAATTGTCCCTTTTGTAGGATAGTGCACTTGGGACTCCAGGAATCTTTGTGTCTCACAAGATCCCTTGGGGATACCTGACATCATTGGGAGAGGCAGCACTCCTTGGAACAGCTCATATCCTGAAGAAAGCAGTGCCTTAAAGCTGCTGTTAGAAGTTGAGATATAGCCATTATTACATGGTCAAAAGATTTAAGAGTCAGAGAAGATATGTTACGTGCCCATTTTTTTTTTTGAGGATGGGTGGAGTTTGTCAAACAGGTAATGCAATTTCTTGGGTGGGAGGCATGTCACTTGCACCATGTCGTAACTGTCAGAGTTTGATTCTTGGTAGTGGATGAGCACTGCTGATGAATCCCAAATTGGACAAAATGGACGCCCAGTGCTTTCTGCATTCTGCTGAAGATTCTTCTAGACTATGAATTAATTGGATTTGTATTCAAATCCCTCCAATAATTTCAATATATATAATTATACACACGCAATATTTATATACACACACACATATTTAATTACACACACACAATTATACAAACACACACACACACATATTTAATTACACACACAATTATACAAACACACACACACACACATATTTAATTACACACACAATTATACAAACACACACACACATATTTAATTACACACACAATTATACAAAACACACACACACACACACATATTTAATTACACACAATTATACAAACACACAATTATACAAACACACACACACACACATTTAATTACACACACACTATACACACACACACACACATATTTAATTACACACAATTATACAAACACACACACACATATTTAATTACACACACAATTATACAAACACACACACACATTTAATTACACACACACATATTTAATTACACACAATTATACAAACACACACACATATACTAAACACACAATTATACAAAAACACACACACACACACAATTATACAAAACACACACACATTAATTACACACACAATTATACAAACACACACACACACATATTTAATTACACACAATTATACAAACACACACACACATTTAATTACACACACACATATTTAATTACACACAATTATACAAACACACAATTATACAAACACACACACACACACATTTAATTACACACACAATTATACAAACACACACACACATATTTAATTACACACACAATTATACAAACACACACACACATATTTAATTACACACACAATTATACAAACACACACACACACATATCTAATTACACACACAATTATACAAACACACACACATATCTAATTACACACACAATATACAAACACACACACACATATCTAATTACACACAACACACACACACATATATAATTACACACACAATTATACAAACACACACACATATCTAATTACACACACAATTATACAAACACACACACATATCTAATTACACACACAATTATACAAACACACACACATATCTAATTACACACACAATTATACAAACACACACACACACATATCTAATTACACACACAATTATACAAACACACACACACACATATCTAATTACACACACAATTATACAATCACACACACAATTATACAAAACACACACACACACATATATATATATATATATATATACACACACACACCATATACATACACACACGCACACACATTTATCATATAGTAAGGTAATGAAGGGTTTGGTAATCTGTATAGATAATTCCAAAGAGGATGTAATCCAGAGAGCTCAATGTAATACCAGAGCAAATATTAATGAAATAATTAGGAACAGACAACCTTAAAGTTCCATAGCTATAATTTATTCCCCAGAAAATATATTTTCCTGGTTCATCAGGTCACATCTCTAGTTACAAAGGAATTTGGTTTCTTTTATTTTTAATATAAGTTTTTGAGGGATAGTTTTAGATTGATAGAAGGTGACAGAGGTGGTGGGAGGGGGAGGACTATAGAATGATCCATGTTGGAAATAAAAAGTAGGGATAACGTTGTTTTTAAACCATCTTTAATAATCTATGTAGGTTCAAGTGTACTCAGTTAAGAGGCCAGACAATTTGAGCTCTTAAATAATTTTTAGACAGGATGTATGTGTACGAATATTTGTTTCCCCACCCCCACTCATGTAAGCAAGAAATAAGTTTTAAGGAAAAGCTGATCTACAAGGAAACTGGTACTTAGAATCAGAAAGTAACACCTGATATTTCTGGGACACATAAGAAAAATTAGACATGTATTAACGGCTAGAGAAACTGGTCGTTCGGAAACAAATAACCATTTAAATAAATTTGAGCAAGTAGATATCAAAGTAAGAACAAAAAAGAATGGTAATGATTCAAAATTTACTTAGAGCTTCACAAAGATGAAACTGCGGAGATATAGAATCACCCATGTGCTAAACACAAAAGAAGTGTACTTTAAAAGATTCACATTATGAGTAGACCATAAATTTACTCCAGTCAGGATGAATGGTTGTACTCACAATGAGGCTCCTTGCCTTGAAATTTTGGGAATAAAGCTCACTACAGATCCCGAGTCGAGTTCATATATTCATACAATTGTTACAGATGCTGGGAAAATGGCCAGATCCTTGTACTGCTCTTGAAAGTACCTGACTTCTTCCATGCTCTGCCTTTACAAGAGTCAGATCAGACCAAAAATGGAGTATTGCTGCCATATCTGGACTGGAGCAGCCTAACCTTCACTTTCCAACTTTGACAGAGTTCAAATGCCTAGATGTAGCCTTGTGTGTGATTAATTATTTTCCACCATGCAACAACTTTCCTATAGATGGAAATTGCTAGCCTCTCGCTACACTACCTCTATTTTCATGGCACATATTCAGATGAGCTATATTCCTTAGTTCCATCACTTCAGACCTTCACAGCTAGGACCTTATCATACCATGTACACAGGGTCAAAACATGCGCATTCTTTTTTAATCCCATTTTTAAGGAGGAAGACGGCTTTTTTTTCCACAAGAACTGTGTCACTTTGTGGAACAGAATCTGAGAGAAGGATTCTTTCCTGATCACTATGACTATAACCTCTTTATGTCATAGAGGTCAACAGTTATCTATCCTGTATATCCTTATAATATGCACATCTCCCTTTCTTTATACCATTACAATAACATTATTCAGTGACCTTCTACACATAGGGACTCTTTGGCCTTGTATTTGGTAGACAATAATATTAAAAAAAAAAAAAATAAATAAAATTACTTTTCTGACATAACTTTCATGAGCAAGAAATTGCTAGCAAAAAGGTATCCACATTATGTTACAGGATCAGTCTGATGACTATGTCATAAAAAAATTTAATTGACATTATCATTTTTTCAAAGAAAGAAAAAATGTTAATAATATACAAATTAACCATCCCTTGGGAAGAGAATATTTCGCAGGCACATGAGAGGAAACTTGACAAACACTAGGAATTAAAAGAAAGATGCCAGAGTAAAGGTTGGAAGACTTTCAAACAAACTTTAGAAATGAGCTGTCATGGGTCCATGTCACTGTCGATAAATAAAGCAATGCCAGAATTGAGAATAAACAGAGCTTCAAAAAAGAAAGCCATAAAAGAAATAAAACAACAGAACAAGCCTCCATGCAGATCTGGTTTGAGCATAAAATTAGATGGAAGGTGGAAAAGTAAGTAGGAGGAAGAAGAAGAGAAGGGAAAAAAAGTCAGTAAGTAGAAGTAAAAAAAGAAATCCAAAGAAGACAATTTCCCCAGTGAAGTACCTTGGTCGGCTGATCCTCTATGTTTGGAGAGGGGCACTGAGTTGCTTTTGGCAGGAATGGCAAGAAGTGGCCTGGTGCCCTTTCTCATATGGATTGAGTTGGTCGACTGGGTCTTGCAGTGGGGTGAGGGTGGTTGTTGGGATTTGGTGGATAGCATAACACCACTAATACTTTTTTTTCAAAAGGAAAAGGGAGAGGAGGAGAAAAGGGTTAATATCATAGCAATAATGAGAGACAAATTAAAGCTGAGCTCTGCATTGGTTAAAATAAACATCAGCAGAAAAAAACATCTTAATTTGCTGATTGATACAAAATCCAGCTACTACCCCCCCCATAAAACCCCATTTACGGGGGCCATATGCAAAACTCAATACATAAAGTACCCAGAATGCTAGCCAGGATTGCAATAGTTCATGGCTGGGTTCAACAAGAGAGGAAGTCTGTTGTCCAGAAGACCTGAAACTTTCAATGACCCCTTGAGATAACACAGGAGAGGTATTCTGGGAGTGCTTAACATGTATTGCTCAAACAGCATTTTATTGCAGTTGCTGCTGTTAAAAGTGAATATAGAAATTTGTAGATAGTTGTAATTTTCATTTCAGAAATAAAGATGGTTCTAATATTTTTACACCTGTTGTAATTTTAGCTTTTTAACTGTTACTGATAGTTTGAATATGTTTGGTGTGTATTTAAAGCATACTATATTTGAGTGTGAAAGTAATATAATGGTACACAAACTAGTTATATAGGTACCTCCATGAAATCACTAAAAAATTAGTATACTGTGATGAAAACATGCTCCAAATGTAATGAAAACAGTTTTATTGTCAAAATCTTATTAAGAGGCAAGATTAAAGTATTTTTGTAATGCTTAATTAAATTTTCTACTCCTTTTAAGAACATTCGAAATTTTGATTAAAAATCTTGTTTTTTTTATGTCTTTTTTGACAGACACAGTAATTAGGAAATTCTTGCAAAAATCAAATTGTCGGATTCTAATGAAATTTTCAAGACTTATTCACAAATGAATTAAATTTTTAGAAATGTTGTTATTAGAAAATCGTGGTGAAAATATTTTATGTTTCACTCCCTTAATTTTATGAAAACTTGATAAATTCAATGTGATAATTTTTAGTGACTATACTAGTTGAAAGCAGAATTCTTTTTTAAAAATGGATGCAGTCATTAAAACAAGTTTAAGGATAAGGGGGGGGATAACTCTTTTTTTGCTTTAAAAATAGTGATAAATTAATAAAAATAAAAAATTTGTAGTGATAAAATGATAATAAAAGTAAAATAAATAATAGTATAATACTTATATATATATATATATATATATATTTTAAGACATTTTTTTATGTTTATACATTCTTTTTATAGATACAAATATTTAAGTAAATGCTCTGTTTATAATAAACAGTATTAAACAACATTTACCAACCTGAATGTCCGAGAAATTTTCACAGAAAATATTCGTCCTCCGACAGGATTCGAACCTGTATCCTCTACGGAACTGTCATTTAGCTTGACGTGCCTTTAACCGATTTGGCCACAGAGGAGCATTTGGTTAGCAAGGTCGAATTTACTGTATTTGAACTTTAATCTTCTATGAATCTCTCACGTTCATTCATATCTGCTCATGGCGTATCAAATGTAAACAAATGACGTCATACATTATGAAATGGACAAAGTCCGACAATTATTTTAAGACATTTTTATGTTTATACATTCTTTTTATAGATATAAATATTTAAGTAAATGCTCCGTTTATAATAAACAGTATTAAACAACATTTACCGGACATTCAGGCTGATAAATGTTGTTTAATATATATATATATATATATACACACACACACACACACTAATAATAAAGATAGTATTGATAATAGCAAGATCAAAAATAAGATAATAAAAATGAAAATAATGTGAAAAAAAAAAAGTAAAAATAATAATAATGACAATACCAAAGCCAGTATCGTTCAAAACTGGGAAAACTATATTAATCTGACAATGTGCTCAAGTAGGAATTTACTTATGTGTAAGCAGGTGCTCATTAACTCACATCTTTTGTTTAACATATTGGGGTTACTCATTTTTTAGGATTATTAATCTATAATGACATAAGCTACATTTATCACCTTTAAATCCCGTTAAAGGGATTAGCTTTCATTATGTACACTCAGGTGATATTTGGGTTTCTATTCTCGCTTTTTATTTTCCAGAAAAATACAGAGAGGGCAGTGCTGTTACCATATTTAATATTGCCTAATGTTATTTGGTGATGGTAGATGTGTGATTTCCAATGTTTTTCAGTAGAACCCACAAAACTTGACCTCGTATTCATATTTCATGTTAGCTTTATAAGCTAATGCCTTGTTCATGCATGTGCTGCTAAATGGACAGGTTTTGCTTTTTGTTTTTTCGGCAGTTGCATTCTTTAGTTGTGAGGGTGTTTTTGTTTTGTAGGTTGGTAAAGTGTCTGTTCAGAATAATGTTATGCTGTGATATACACTGGTTGATATTTTTAGATCAACTGTAGATAACATTGACACACACACGAAAAGAAAATGCAGATAATCCGATTTTTAAATGGGGATGGCTTGTTAAAGATTCAAACTATCAATCGTAAGTATATTCCATTGTTGACTCTACAATCTTGGTAAACTTTAAATTTTAATAATCACTTTTATGATGAATAACTTTGTGATAAACATTTTAACTTATCCTTAGTAAGTTAGAGTTTCTGAGGGTGTATAGCACATATGTTATTCCTCTACATTACTGGTAGTATTTTATATAGAGGTATATACGTTCAGCTGATGTTTTGTCACTTTCTATTGTTTTAGTTTTTTAATATTACATATAAAACTCTTTAGTTAACTGTTATACTCTATTCTTTTTTTAATTTTTTTTTTATATAATTTATTATCTTATTTTTATATGATCTATGTACTTTTAATTTGATTAGTTCATGTATTTATTTTTTAATTTAATTTTCTATTTTTCTGTTTTGTAATTTTGATAATTTTTTCCTGTGCTTTCCTTTTATTTCTTAAAGATTTTTTTTTATTTACATACTATTAAATTATTATTAAATTTTGCTGCCTCTTCACTGAAAATGTCAACTGTTTATATATCGTTATATTGTATCAAAAATCTATTTCAAATAGACTGTATGTATCCGTTATTTTAAATATCCTTCACAACAACTATTTTTGATTGGTTAACTGATTCTTAACATATCTTGTCTAGCTTCTTTACATTTCTATATCATCCTTATATTTATCTTTCCCTTTTCTTAGAAGAGACTATATCTGGTGTTTTTCTTTCCTTCTTGCTTTTTATTTTCTTCCTTCTTTTTTCTTTAGAAGAGATTGTATCTTGTATTGTCTTTCTTTCTTTTCTCCTTTTTTTTTGACTACATCTTGTTTCTTCCTTGCTTGCTTTTCTTATTTTCTTTTCTGAGAAAAGGGATTGTAAATAAATTGAAAAATTGTAATAACCATCATTTGCAATCGCCTGATGAGATGCAATAATATGCATAGAAATTTGAATGTATTTATGTAGTGGTTACGTATGTTCGAATGTAATATCCTATAATAAATATATATATATATATATATATATATATATATATATAAGCTTCATTCAAACATGTTTCATTGAACAAAATAGACATATTATGCCTATTTATTTTTATAATAATCCTTTCTAGTTCTCTAATGAGTTTCTTGATGTTAAGATGAAGTTCATCAAGAAAGGTGCCATAGTTTTCCTACCTAAGTATTTTCCATCTATTCTTATAAACATATACACAATATATATTAAAAATAAATTAAATTTTGTTTGATTAAAACCCTGCTAACATGGAAGTACCCAAGAATCATTTGAGGCACATAATGCTTTATGAGTTCAAGAAAGGAAACTCAGCAGCTGAAGCGGCTAGAAACATTCACTCAGTTTATAGAGAGGAATGTGTAAATGAAAGAACTTGCAGAAGATGGTTTGCAAAATTCAGAGGTGGAGATTTCACCCTTGAAGATGAAGATCAAACCGGATGTCCAGTTGAGTTTGATGAAAAGCTTGAAGCAGCCCTTGAAGAAAATCCTGCTTTATCAGTTCAGGAATTGGCAGTGGTTCTCAGTTCGAACCATACAACTGTTCATCATCATCTTCAACAACTTGGAAAAGTTCCTAAACTTGGAAAATGGGTGCCTCATGAATTGTCTGAAAACAACTTCAAATCCTGAGTTGACATCTGCTCTTCTCTCCAACTTGTTTCACCTTTTTTTGAATAAACTTGTGACTGGCAATGAAAAATGGATCTTTTATTGAAATGTTAAGCATTGTAGACAGTGGCTTGGTAAAGGGGAAGGACCCCAGCTAGAGCCGAGAAGGGAACTTCATGGGTAAAAGCTTCTTCTTTCAATCTGGTGGGATCACCAAGGAATAATCCACTTTGAATTCTGACCACCTAATGCAACAATTAATGCTCAAATATACTGTCAGCAATTAGAGCATTTGAACCAAGCTTTGAGGAAAAAAAGACCTGCTCTAGTGAAGCAAAAAGAGGTGATGTTTCATCAGGACAATGTGCGACCCCACACAGCAAGAATCTCTCGTCACAAAAGATCGAAGAACTTGGTTGGGAGAAAATTCCTCATCCACCTTATCTCCCGATCTTGCTCCTTCAGATTACCATTTGTTTCGTAGCTTACAGAATCATTTGGAAGAAACAGCTTTTGTAACACAGGAAGAGGTTAAAACTGACATTTGTGGGTTCTTCGAATCAAAGCCAAAAGAATTTTATAGTAATGGAATTAGTAAGCTTGTTAATACATGGAAGGAAGTCATAGATAATACATTGTTGATTGAATCTGTAATTAAATGTAACATTTGGTCACTTGTTTTCTTTATTCAAAATTCAGACAGAACTTATGGGATGACCTGATATATTATAGATCAACTGATTTAAAATGTTTTTTCGCTACACAGTAATAACTATGTTTCATAAACTGAAGCTAAAAACTTCAAATTTAATTCTATAATTAAATTAAAAGCATTAGTTCTGTTTCATCTTCAAGCAAATTTTGAATAACTTATTTATTATATATATATATATATATATATATATATATATATATATATATATATATACATACACAAACTTTAAGGGATTAATGTGCATTGTAATATTGTATTCCTTCTGGGGAGGGGCAGAAAACTTGAGGGCCACCCTGGGCGGCAAGAAGGCTATGCCATTGTTATTACAGTATTATTATTAAACTTTGTTATCAAAGAGGGGAAAGGAAAAAAGATGCAAACAGTACCATGATTCCATCTTTGATTCCAGAGTTTTTCAGCAAGTCATTGAGATGATACTAAAAAAAAAAAAAATAAAAAGAATTGAAATAGAAATTTATGATTGAAAATTTTAAAAAAGCAACAAAAATCTAAACAAAAAAGCCAAACAGTTTTACAATAATTGCTAAAAATAATTTTTAGCTATTTGTAATTCTTAAGATTTGTCATACAAATTCAGATAGAAATTACCACATTTGAAAATATAAAAGACATACTTAATGAAAAACATCTTATATGCAAAATTGAAGCTTAATTGTTGGTTAATTTTATTACCAACACTCATTACTATAGGCTATAATTTGATTTCAGATGGTTACTTCTACCTAGCCTGACACCATAATGCAGGTGGTGTAATGGATAATGACTCAGAGAGTAAAGTTTCAATTTCTGTTTGAGAATTTAAATCATTACTTTGTTTTTGAGAGGTAGTTCCACACTCCTCAAAACCTCCAATCTCCCAATCAGTGGTCTGTTTGTTCATCATAGCCAGGATTAATATAACAAAGAACTGTTGGAATTGCAAGATGACATTGACATAGATGGAAGGATTATAGAATAATCAAGAACATATACTTGCAGCAAAATATTAGTAAATATACAAAAATAAAGGGGATTAAGACAAAGATGTGTCTTCTCACCAAACTTATTCAACCTATACAATGAGGTGATTCTGAGAAAATTAGGAGTCCTACCAGGATTCATTATTGGCATCCACAATTTTAACAAGATATGCAGATGACACAGTATCAATAGCCAACATGGAAAGGAAACTACAAGAACACCTACAGAAGTTAGTGAAGGAAAGCAAGAAGAAAGGACTAAACATCAATTACAAGAGAGAATGCATGGTTGTTAGCAAAAGGAAGAGCCCAACATGAAAATTATAAATTGGAGATACCAAAATCAAACAAGTACAACATCTTGGGAATGTTTTAATGGAAGATGGAAAGTGAGACACTGAAATCTGAAGGTATATTTGGATAGCCAAAGATGCATTCCAAAAGCTAAGCCGAGTATTAAAAGATAGGAAAAAAAAAGAAAAAGGCACTGAATTGTTATGTAATATCAGTCCCCCTATATGGCAGTGGATGTTGGACAATCTCCTCACAGATGAAGAGATGTAAAGCAATACAAATGTGGCTTTACAGAAGAATGCTGAGGATGCCATGAACTAAAAATGTGAGCAACAAGAAAGGTTCAAAGAAATTGGAAACAAAAAATGCTTATACTTAACACCAGGAAGAAATGGTTGAAATTTCTATGGAACATAAAGAGGAAAATTTGATACTCACAGGACAAAGGAAAACAATGCATAACCTACTTAGTGAGCTTCAGTAAATGGATGGTGGAGCAAGGTTTAGGAGAGATAACAAAAAGACAATTTATTTAATGTGTCAAATGACAGAAAGTTGTGGAGAGCCATGATCACCTATGCCCTGAAGAGACACGGCACATAGTAAGCATCAATTATTTATAGATTTATATCCCGTTTAATATTATTTGTTTTTGAATTTGTATTGAAAACACCTTTATTGATGTTGATTTTTTTTATTGAAAAATGTAAGCTTCCAGGCGTCCATCTTACATGTCATTATGCAAATTTTAATGCAAAGAAAGTAAATATATGGTATTTTGAAGTTGGAGGCTACAAAATTATTATAGCATCAATGTTTTTGTACCGACTTGTATGGAACTAACACGGACAGGTCTCATTCTTTGAGTAAAGGAGTCATGTAAAATGGTTTAAAGCTGGATTTTTTTTTTTTTTTTAATCTTTACTCAAAGTTTCAAGTACTGAAAAATGTAGTATCCTACAATTTTTATAAGAAAGGATTTGTGATTAAATTGTACAAAGAATGTATGCTTGTCAGCCCAAAATGCAAGCTGTGAATTGGACTTGTATCTGGTAAGGGTTCAAGCAGATGATGGAAAATGTGACACTGAAATCACTAGGTGCATTGAAAAGATGCCATCTAAAAGCTAAAAAAAGTATTAAGAAGCAGAAAAAAATTTCATTAGAAACTGTAATGGAAGTACAAATGATATGAGGCCTTATAATTGGTTTTATTATTTTGTTCTGGGATTATATCATCCATTCCACAACATGTTAAATATTCGTGCACAATATGAAAACATGAAATAAAGTAAGAGCAGTTTTTGGTGTGCATGTAATAAGATGCAACATATTTTGGAGGATTTTCTTATTTGTTGAGTATCTTCCAACAAAGAGGCAGATCACAATTCAGAATAGTCGGAAAAATCAGCAACACTGGAATCAAACAATAAAGGAACTGAATAATGTATAATGACAAGCAGGTTATGAACAAGACTTCTATACAGGAACACCCTGTACACAAGGGATGAATGCAGTTGAGACCCTAGAAACAGAAATCTTCAGTAGCACATATTCAGCACAGTGCCTCTTTCTATACAATGTGTCTGCTTTTAGGGAGCCCAAAACATTAGTCGTTGGCCAACAAAAGGAATGATTTGCATTGCTAAAACCCACTCAGTTCGCTGCCCTGACAATCTTTGTTCTGACAGGACAGCCATTTGTGTTTTTGATTTTGAACAAACATACAATTGCTTCCATAATTGATTCATATTATTCACAGAAGATGAAAAATATGTATTTGATTTGTATATATTAACGCAAAGAAAAGGTTTTAGGCTTATCTGCATGAAAAGACATCTTTCTTGTAAGCTTATTTAAGAAAACATATCTTTCTGGTCCAACAGTTGGCAGTCATAGAGACAGACTTTGCATTTTTGTACCAAAACTGTCTTTCTAGTGCATTATGGGAATTTTACTTCCATTCTTGACTACAACCTAACAAAGCAGAGGATGCAACTCCTTTATTTATGAATCACTACAAAACAAAGAAAAGAGTGCTCAACTGCTACATATCAGTTCAAGTATATAGTGAATGCTGAATAATTTCTTCACAGGGTTAAATGACCTTACATTGCATTTGTTGATGCAGTTTAATAGAAGGATGCTGAGAATATCATTGAGGAAGTTTTAAGGAAAATAGAAAATCAGAAAGAGTTGAAATTTCTAGAACACAATGAAGAAAGAAGCCTTTGAAATTTTGATACTTGCAGGGCATATTGAAGGCAAGAGGGACAAAGAGAAACAGAGTTTTAAGTTTGAACTTTTAATCATCTACCTAAGAACCTTGGGTTGTATGGTGTTATTGTTAAACACAGACACACATTTATTTACCAACCAAGATGTGACACAAGGTCAGTTTTTAACGTGGGGCGTTCCGAGCCCGTAGGCCCCGTGTATCGGGTCGGCTTTGTCTACCTCCCCAAACGAGATCACCCTTCGACATAGGCTCGTCTGGGTTGCTCTCCGCATAGAGTTCGACAAGAGAGGCAAAGAAAGCCTCCTCCTCTAACCGCAAAAACGCTAAGAAGTCACTACTAGCGCCATAGAAGTATGCACAGGGACCGGGAACAACAAAACATATGAGTTACTATGCAGCTTATAGCACATGTAAATAAAAATACGAGCAAAGATATGAAAAGAAAAGAGAGAGAGAGAAAAAAGTAAATACCTGTGTAAAACTAAAAGTTATGTAATACGAAGAAAAAGGAAAAAGTAAAAAAAAAACAAAACAAAAAAAACAACATTGTACAGAAAAAAAGGAAATGTACATGATAGTTAAAAAAGACAACCATTGCTAAGAAGAGTTACAAAGGATAGGAAGTTGTGAAGAGCCATAATCGCCCATGTCCTGAAAGAACACGGTACATAAAAAAAAAAAAAAAAAAAGAGGACATTAAGAATTGCTCTTTTCCGATTAGGTGGAAGGACATTTAACTTGCCATTTTTAAAGAGTAGTAATGGAATAATCTATTCTTTTCAATATCCAATCCAAGTTTGGATTTCATTTATTTATTTTTTTTTTCCATTCACAAAAAATAAAATCTAATTCTGAGTTTACTTGTTGACTTACGTTGTATTTGAATTTAACTAAAAAAAAGTGAGAAACGACAACTTAAAAGTAGGACCGATTTCTATTTTAAAGGTCATTCGTCTGTGTCCGACTTAAATTCCAAAACTACAAATATTAGATCTAAGAGACTAAAAAACGATTTTTTGTTTTAGTCAGCCTGTTCCAAGGAAGGTTTTTTTTTTTTTGATAAATAAACTAATAAAGATTTTATTTCTGTTCGCATTTTATTTGTAAGTTTATTAAACCGTAATTTATGCTCTGTTTTGAATTTTAAAACTTGACAAATTGACATCGTTCATTTATTTAAAAAAAAAAATAAATAAATAAAAAATAACCAATAATAAAGTTAAAAATGAATTTTAAGAATATTACATAATTTTTGTTTAATAAATGACACTTTTTAAATTTGCAGAAGTTATCATTAAATTATTAAATAGAAAAAAAAAGTAAACAATTTTTCCAAACGAAATCCTGTCATCATGTTTTTAAAACAATGACAATAATAAAAATTAAAACTAAAAGTTAAAACGATTTAAAAATAAGGGAAAATAGTAAAATTAAAGGAAAGGGATGGTTTTATTTATCACTTTTAAATATTCGTGAAAAACAATAAATAGACTTTCCATTGAAAGAAGAAAAGTTCATTTAAAAAACATCTTCGCTTAAAGAAAGAGTACAAAAATAAATTGCTTATCAAAACCTTTGGAACATGCTGAATCAGATTAAAAATGTAGGTTTACTTTTTTTTATTTTTAAAGTAAACTGAGGATTGGCGATGTCCAGAGTGTCAAAAAAAAAAAAAAATAAATAAATAAAAAAAAAATTAAAGTATAAATGAATTCAATTATTGTTGTTATCACAGGTTTGTTTATTAGTTAGTTACTACTACTAACTAGTTAGTTAGTTAGTTAGTTAGTTCATTCACAATGTGTTGATAATCAATTTATGTTTGTATACTACTGGTTGGTGTTACTTTGTTGATAACACCACTACAATTTTTTTAT